CAATCAAACGAACATACGAACAAGTAACAGGTAAATGAATGAATGATTGCAAGAAAAAAGGAAAAAGATAAAAAAGAAGAAAGAAGAAGAAAGGAAAGGAAGAAAAAATTAGATGAACAAACAAACTTGATGAACAAACAAACTTGATGAACAAAAAACTTGATGAACAAACCAAAAAGTATAAACTTTTTTAAAGATAAATAACCACAACCAGTGAATGAGTGTACTACATACATACTAAACAAGCAGAGTATAACTCATCACGTCTAGCTGATAAAAATTTAATGGCCCCTACAACGTCATAACATTTAATTATAGCATAATAACAAAGGCAACAATAACAACAATAGCAACAATAATAATAATAATAATACATGATAATTATTCCTAATTTTATTATTAATTAAATAAAATGTGTGTGTGTGTCTGTGTATGTGTGTCGTGTTTGTGAGTGTGTGTGTATGTGTGTGTGGGTGTGTGTGGGTGGGTGTGTCTGTGTTGTGTGTGTGTGTCTGTGTGTTGTGTTTGTGTGTGTGTGTGTGTGTGTGTGTGCGCGCGCTCACGTTTGTCATCCTCATTGTTTCATATTTTTAAAATACTCCTCCGAAGAATAAATTGACTGACGAGAGATAAATACAAATTAAAAATTAAGAAGAAATAAATTTAAAAAACTTAAAAAAAAGTGAATGGCGTAGATGATGATTTGAAAAATGCAAATAAATCAAGCCATATCATTTTCTACTAAAAAAATATGGTGGCAAAATATAAAGTAATAATAATAATAAAATAATAATAATAACAATGGTAATAATAGCATCACAGATCAAAGGCAACAAAAAAAATTTTGTTTTTTGAAAGATTTATCGATTTATCTAACTAACAAAAGAACGAACGAACGAACGAACGAACGAACTAATAAGAAAACGAACCAACCAACAAAGAAAACAACCAACCAATCCATCCAACCAACAAACTAGACAAAAAAACTAAGAAAAATAAGTTTAAAAATATTTTTTTAAACTGCTGCAACACCAAGACAAGACAGATAAATTTAATTCCCATTTAATATAACACAAACTTCAAACTGAAGAGGGTGGGTAGATAAATCAATCAAAAACACATTAAAATCATACGTCTAAGTATTACACTTTCGTTCATTCGTTCGTTTATTCATGCATTCTTTTATTCGTTAATTCATTCATTCACTCATTCACTCACTCACTCATTCATTCATTCATTCATTCATTCGTTCATTTTGTTCGTTTGTTAGTTCGCTGGTTATTCATTCAATCATCAGTTTATTCATTCACTCATTCACTCATTCATTCACTCATTCGTTTCTGTATTCGTTCATTTATCCATTCATCCATTTATCCATTTATCCATCCATCCATCCATCTATCCATCCATTCATCTATTCCTTCGTTGGATCGTTAATTTATTCACTCATTCGTTCAGTTAACATTAATTCATTCATTTATTTATACAGCCATAATTTCAATCATTCATTCGTTCGTTCATTCATTCATTCATTCAACACACATTTAAAAATTCTTTCATTCATCCATTTAACATGGACACGCTCAATCATTCATTCATTAGCACAATTACAATAGATACAAATATAAATCAATACAAACAAACAAACAAATAAATACCAACACACAAACAAACACATACAAAAAAACACATACAAACAAACACATACAAACAAACAAATACAAACAAACAAATACAAACAAACAAACAAATACAAACGCGCAACTCAAGTCAGCAGGAGAGTAAGGTAGCATTGAAATTGATTAACATGTATGTACTCTCTTGTTGTTTTTGTTGTTGTTGTTGTTTTTGACATATCACAAACAACACAACAGCATAACAACACACCGCACAGTGAAATTATGGGTGTTGATTTGTGTATGAGTGTGTGTGTATGTGTTGTATGTGTGCGCGCGTGTGTGTGCATGTGTTGTATGTGTGCGCGCGTGTGTGTGTATGAGTGTGATTTACACTCTGAGAAGTTAGACAACACAGCACAACACATGAACTGCAGACTGGCGGTGTGTTTGTTTATGAATTTTATTCACATTTCACATTATATATATTTATGTCCTTACATGTATGTATGGATCTGCAATTGAAACTTGTCAGCTAACGCGCACCACCACAAAAATTCCACAGGTATACAAACACACACACACCACACACAGACACGCACAAACGTCCACACACACACACACACACACACACACACACACACACACACACACACACACACCATAAAGTTACGGGTTGACAAATTGTTAACAGGAAAAGTTTGTAATTATTAAACTTGGAAATGGAGCACAAACATTCAGACGCACACATACAAACATACATACATGTACCGACACATAGACATTCACATATACATTCACATATATAAATACGCATAAGACTAGTGTACACAAAGAATACCTACCAATACACGCATTGTTATACATTACATACTTGGACCTACTTGTGTACATTTTTGCATATTACACACACACACACACAAACATACACACACACAAACACATACAAATCAACTCTATACTAAATATATATATTTATATAAACATTTA